GGCGATGGGGGGTCGTACCCGCCCCCTCGGCCGGCGTGTACCGTAGAAAACAAATAGGTCCGGCGGGCAGTAGCGGCGGAACATCTTCAATTAAGGGGGGCACGGCACTGCCGACTTATGGTCCAATATGCTTTCCATGCAACGCCCATAGGGCTACTGTTAAAAGGCCAAAATTAAAGAGGGGAACGGTGCCCCGGTGCCCTCCCCGTTCCGCCGCCTATGCCGGCGAGCAGGGATGCGGAGCCGTGGAAATTTCAAACGGCTCCGGCTCCGGCTCCGGCTCCGGAGAAAAAAATCGGCTCCGGCTCCGGCTCCGGCTCCGGGTGAAATGTTATGGCGGCTCCGGCTCCGGCTCCGGCTCCGAATAAAATGGTCCGGCTCCGGTGGCTCCGGCTCCGGCGGCTCCGGCTCCGACTCAGTACATCCCCTATGCAATCAATTAAATACGGGTGGAAGAAAAATTGGATTGGTTATACGCGTTACCTACTCTTGCCATGACCGGCTCATCGCGTCCCCGCGCAAACGCACCTCGGAGAGAACTGGCAGAACAAAGGACTAGGAAGCGATGGCATTGGAAACGCAGTCGCCGCGAATCGGAGTTCACTGAACCATCGTAAGCTGACACCCATCTCGGCTGCATTGGGGGGTGGGGGGTGGGGGGTGGGAAGAGACGGTGCTGGGAGTCGCAGTCCACTGCACTGGCTTCAAAACAATGGCCGTCACCTGATGACCGGTCCTCATGTCCTGGGGATGCAGTAGACGTGAGGGGGGAGGAGGAGCAGACAGGAAGTTGATTGCGTACTGTGGGATACTGGGGATATTCGGCTTTTTCATTCACTTGATGGCCCATGACGTACTATTGGTCTCAAGATAAGGGCCCAGGCGACCTGTAGTTTTGATGCGGTGAATACCCTTACCCTCGCCACAACTCGGGCCGAGTGCACCCCTCCTCCCAGCCAGCGCCACCCCCACTCGCATTGTGGCGAGGGTGAGGGTATTCACCGCATCAAAACTACAGGTCGCCTGGGCACTTATATTGAGACCAATAGTACGATATGTTTCACTGCGTTGTACTGTCAAACCGAAATAGGTCAATTATTTTTTTCCTCTTCAAAAAATAAAAGGAGCCGGAGTCGCCCCCTTTTTTGGCGGCTCCGGCTCCGGCTCCGGCTCCGGGCTATATTGTTTCACGGCTCCGGCTCCGGCTCCGGCTCCGGGCAAAATATGCCGGCTCCGGCGGCTCCGGCTCCGACTCCGGCTCCGGCTCCGCATCCCTGCCGGCGAGGGTACAAGAGATTATATTGTCGTTCAACGACCGCGAAAAAAAAGAATGTCCGGGACACAAATGATATGGAATGTTACGATTGTCGGCTCCAAATACAATAGCTTAACACCTGACTGACCTCATCTACCTGACTTCAAAAGTTTCGATCATCCATTCCATGCATCAAATTCGTCATTCACTTGACTGTCTGATATTTCTTCATGCTTTTATTGAACCACATTTGTGGACGAGTGTTTGCGGAGACGAAGATAGCGCAGACAAAGATTTGCGGACGAAGATTTGCGGACGAAGATTTGATTGGACGAAGAAATGCGTGGACAAAAAATGCAGACGAAAATTTGCGGACGAAGATTTGCGGACGAAGATTTGCGGACGAAGATTTGCGGACGAAGATTTGCGGGGACGAAGATTTGCGTAGACGAAGAAATGCGGACGAAGATTTGCGTAGACGAAGAAATGCGTGGACGAAAAAATGCGGACGAAGATTTGCGGACGAAGATTTGCGGAGACGAAGATTTGCGGACGAAGATTTGCGCAGACGATGATTTGCGTGGACGAAGAAATGCGGACGAAGATTTGCGTAGACGAAGAAATGCGTGGACGAAAAAATGCTTGACGAAGAAATGCGCCGACGAAGAAATGCGGATACGAAGAAATGCGCTACGAATTTTTGCACCTACGAAGAAATGCGAGACGAAGTAATGCGACACGAATAAATGCGCCGACGAAGATTTGCGGACGAAGAAATGCGGACGAAATATTGCGCGACGAAGAAATGCCATACGAAGATTTGTCCGGTTACGATGGCACGCGGAACTGGAGGTCAGTGTTTTATTGCTTCGTACATGCGAATGGGGGTATTTGAGTGGCATTTGACACCATTTTCGAAATCTACAGTGAATTTCTGATCGACTCATGTATATATTTTTATGAATTTGATAGTATTACTGCTACATAGTCGGTATTTTATGTTGGTGTTGTTTCTCTCGACCTTTGTCTTGGACTTTTATCATATCTTTTCTCGAAAATGCTTGCCATAACCAGGTCTAAACTGTATCTGTATAAAGGGAATATGTTTTGAATATGAGGAGAAAGTAGTAATTACCATTCTGCCTATCAAACTGCCAGAAGCTGAAGGTGTTCTTGTAAGGTGATTGAAACTGCAGTACGGGTTGCAGATGTGGGTTTGAGGCATTAGCATTATTGTTGTAACCACTAACCCCACTTGCTCTAATAAGATGGCAACATGGGGTTATGTACCGACTATTGCACAGCCTGGTATCAAGCTGGTTGATATGTGGAGGATAATGAAAGCATAAAAACTTTCCTTAAGTGAATAGATAGGAGCGTTGCGTCTTGTGACTTATGTCAAGTCATTTTAAATCAATTGATTGTGTGTGATTGTAACTTTTACTTCAATTATTATTGCTAGTTTTGACCTTTTTAATCATCAAGTTTTATGTGTACCAATTTCATATACTTGTGTAATGTCTGTGCGACTTTGTGCAGTGTGCGTGTCTTGAAACAAACCAATTTATTTTGTACCTTTTTGTACTGCAACAAATGTATGTCAAAGGACAAAAATGTCATGTCTATTATCATTGACACTACTACAGCTAACTTAACCTATATTCGTATCTTTCAGAGGCATTCAATTCAATCTGCTTTCCAGTGCAGTACCTAGGAGGCTGCAACTGAAACTCGCACAAAGGCAGTCAAGTGTCACTTCATCAGCCTACAGTAACAGCCCATCTGTAATCAAGATATGGATGAAGGGGCATAGAAGAACAACCAGTTCAAACATGAAAAGATTGTATTTTGTTTTGGACTATTTCTTAGCATAACAGAACAGTACACTTGCTGCTTTTTATGTTTGCCCTGTGTGCAGTTTTGAATAATTTTAACCTGAAATGCTTTTGTCAACTATTCTCTTTACATAAGCTTCCTTTGTCATGCGTGTGTAATTTTGAGTTTACATGCATGATGTAGGCAGTGCACATTTCCCTTGGCTTCATAAAACTACTTGCAAGCTTTTGTTATGGACATTGGTGCTATATATGATGCTTCAAATGTGTCCTGTAGTTGATGAAGGGAGAAGAGGAGTATAGGACAGCTGATAGCTATTACCAAAAGTATGTGCTTGTTTGCACTTCGGGCTGTTTTACTTCCTTGAGTTAAAAAACCCTCATCTTTTGTTTCTTTCCTGTGTGCCCATTGTTTCCGTGGTGCTATAAACGTCAAGTTTGAAGTGGGTATCCAAGTGAGCAAAATGTGTATTATTTCAGTCCGTCTTGAATCATTCGTCTTGAATTATATCCCTAACTGACATCCTGTTATTTGTCCTGCAATGTCTGTGCCTGTGTCCGCCCTTACCTCCGGCTCCAGCCTCCAACCAGCCCTGCTGAGCTCTGTCGCCGGCGCGGTGTGTCGCAACGTGCTGTTTCTCCACTCCAGCCGACAGCTGCTAGGAATCGTCCTGTGCCATGCGCCATGCGACACAGCAATTGTAAGCTGCAGGTCACATTCGGACTGATTGGCTCCGTGTATGTGCATCCGGCCGGGTGCTAGTCGATATCAGGGACGTGGGTCGGACTGTTGTGGCGGCGTGCACTATGCTGGTTGAAATTGTTGTATTTCTGTTAGTGAAAAGCATTAATACATAACCGTGGCCGCAGCCCAATGTTATTGTGGATTTCAGAGGGAGTGGCCAGTCAGGAGGGCCCCATGTGGATATGGATCCAGTGTCCAGAGGGATTGGCTAAGATTTCCGGCGATTGATAAACGCTTCTATGATAGTAGTTTTGAGGGGAGGTCACGTGGCGGACCTGACCTTACTAAACTCTTGTGAAAACACGAAACATACGAACGGTAAGAAACCGACAGCTCTTTTTTCTGCCAAGTGTCATCTTTCTGTGAAGGATTTCTTGGCACTGAGTGTTCAGAGATTGCGTTGTTTTTGGACTGTGCAGAGGCTCACGAGCGACAACATAGGTCAACAACCTGACGTACCTTGAATATGCGACTTGTACCATAAGATCCAGCTTGATCAAAAGATAGGACATGTCAAATTTCATCTCTTTATCTCAAAAGAATTTTGAGCTATCGTAAAAACCGCCAGCGTGGCACCATATCGCCTCCCCGCGGGGTCGGAAGGTAAAAGTTCGCCGGCTCTAACTAAACAAATAGTCGTCGTATCGCAAATTCATTGACGGCGTTCGAAGCGTCGTTCAATTTACTTTCGAAACATATCCTAATATTACCATTTAACTGCCTAGCGCAATCACCAACAAGCAAAAGTTCCGCGCATTCCTCCTCATACAGTGTTAGCGGCGGCCGGCCGCCGGCCGCTGACCCACATTCGCGTCATCAGGGAATGCCGCAACTAATTTATTGTTTCCAACTTTTTTCCCGGAGCGTTCTACCTGGTTTATATAGCCTTGAGTTTACCACTCAGCTGATGGGAAAAGTGCGTCAGTTTTGGTCACACAAACTTCAGATATGTATCAAAAATGAGCCCGACGTTCTTGTCAAAAACGTACCACAATGCTGTCATTTCGTCCTAAGAATAAAAAATAAAAGGAGTAATTGTCAATCAATATTTTATTTAAAGACACTACAACTATGATACAACATCTAATGAGGAAACAAGCCTAAAAATCAATCAAACAAAAACAGTATTGTTTCGTAATTGACTGGTGCTCCTTCGTTCCTAGGCAACGGTTTCAAACAAGCTTCTCCTTTTTCTCAGTTGTTTTTCAGTCTTGTCAAGAGTCTTGTGCAGTCCACGGTCATAGAATGCAGTCTTGTGTTAGTTCTTGGTTAGTTCTCTTCTCTTGCTACATTCCGTGCTTGTGTTGGTGGGAGACAGGGTTGGGATACTATATGGGCAATTTTTTGATTATATGCAGCATGCATTGCTTGGGGGATACATATTTATATTGGGAATTTTTGGATTACTGGCCTGGATGCCTGTTAGTTTCAAGAATGCTGCTGGTACTTATATGAATGCTTGAATGAAGCTGTGATGGGAATGGGATAACATTCCCTCTTTTCCATCCTCAGGGCTGACATATCCTTCTCCTCTATGCCTCGGGCCCATGCTCCAGGCTGGACAGGCAACTAAATCCCATGCGGAAATGCCTGTAAGAGCTAGCCCGTAGCTGGGTGAGGTCATGAGGTGAGTGCCTGGGGGGGGGGGCTAGTTGGTCGGTCCTCAAGACAGGCTCAGCCCTAGCATTGTTGCCAGCAACTCACCAGGGTGCCCCAGCTTGCCAGTCGCCCAGACCAGTGTCTCCCCCTATTTCCTATCATTTTCCCCACTTCTGGCCCTGAAATGGTCTTCAGACCAAAAGTGTCTAACATAGCAAAACAACAAAAGCTGAGATGGGTTCAGCAAAAATGTTTTAGCCCTGTTTCCCTTAGTATTACTGTGTTTACTGTGTGTAAGGGACAGATTGCCAGGTCACCTACAGGCTACATACAGCTACAATTAACCCGCGCGGGGCTGGGGTCTCCAGCCGAACGCGCGGGGCTGGGGGGGGGGGTAAATTTTACCCCCCCTGTTATCTCCCGAACTAACGGTCCGATTTGGAAAATTCAAACGCCAATCGAAAGCTCTCATCACGAACTACTAAAAACATGTACTTAATTTAAAGTTTGAGGTCAAGGTCAAGGTCAGGTCAAGGGTACAAATTGCAAGTTTCTACAGTATCGGCCTTGCACCGTAGTTGCCGAAGAATGGAGTCATGGACTGAGACTGATCGCCCAAAACGTGTTCTTAGGCTACCAAGACAATATTCGTTGCATACAATATCATTCAGAGGTCAAGGTCAAGGTCAGGTCAGGTCAGGTCAGGTCACCAAAAAACAAAATATAGAAAAGGGCATGTGCGACACATGTTTTATGGGTCATTTTACTCATAGAATTCAATAGGCACACTCAATAAGTGATATGGACCACCTCTGGATGAATTTCAGGTCGAGGTCAGGTCAAGGTCAGGTCAAGTGAGGTCAAATTTTGAAGTTGGTTGTTAAGGCCTAAAAAGGTGTCTATCTGATGCAGTTTATCACGGCGAATCGAATGGTGCTATTTTTGTTTCCGTACGAGGTCTAGAACTTCCAAAAAAGTCATTTTTCAAAAATTTTGTGTGTCGTGACGTCATAAAATTTTGAATAACTCCCACATTTTTGAACCGATTCTTCTAAAATTTGGTATGTAGGTGCACATAGACCACTTCTCTGACATATATTCCGGTTTTTTCGATAGACTCAAAATTTTGGATTTTATAATGATTTTCCCAAAAAAGTCAGTTTTTTGAAAAAATTTAGGCCAAAATCCAAAATATTCAAAAAACCGAGATAGCCATTTGATAGACAAAGTAAAATTACGTATAACCTTTTTTGTTACGTCTTGATTCCTTTAAAAATGAAGATGTTAGCGGCGTTTGAACTTTTGCCGTTTTTGAGGCGAAAATGACGAACATGACGTCACTAAAACGTCAATTTTTTAAAAAATTTCCGACGGATTTCGCTCAAATTTTCAGGGGACGTGTCAAATTGATGTAAGAAAAGGTACCGAAAGTTTGGCGGCGCTGCGCGCCGCCGTTTTTGAGATATCGCAAAAATTCGCGAGGGGGGGTAAAATTTACCCCCCCCCAGCCCCGCGCGGGTTAAATATCAATCTGAGTTGCTTTCTTTTGGGGCTCAAAGATCTCTTCTCCATGCTATTTATCTTTTCACTGTTACTCAGCTATTCAATGCTTATTCCATCAGTGAGGTGCTCAAGTACTTATAACTTATAAGTGACATCAGCATGTTCATGTTTTCAGAATATTTTGTTGAAGCCTGCTCTGATGCCTCATGATGCAGTCTACCTCAATCTGTATAATTTTGACCTTCCACAACATGAAGATTCTCCCTACATAATTACTAGTCCAAGATCACTTAAGGCTTGTCATAAACTTGGGATTAAGGTATGTAGAGAATAATATTTTAAATGTGTTATTGAAGTGCATTTTAATTGAGCTTTAGATATTAATTCATAGCTGTGGCCAGTGCTTGGGCCTTGCTGGAAATTCAAATGCCTGTAGTAATTAAGCTCAAAGGTCTTGTCTTAATTGCACTGTGCTCTTTTTTTCAGTTTGCTGGCTTGTCAATGTCAATGTACATGGGTTTAAATTAATTGCTGGTCTTGCCTGTCTTTACCTTAGACTGAGACCTTATCTCTCATCTTTTCCTATTCCTCTCCCTTACATTTTCCATCCCTCATTTCCCCCTCTCTTATCCCTTGTCCCACTCTCTTCCTTTCTTTCTGATCCACCCCATCTGATCCAGCCCTCTCTTTCCTCTCAAAGACCTAATACACATACACATAACAGTTCCAATATTCTATTTTACCCATCAACTTCTTCTGTTCTCCACACCAGCCTTGTGAGCTGTTGTACAAGTCACTGGATGAATATGAACAGGAGCTGCCTCACCTTCCACTTAGGGATGTTGTCTACCAGTATGAGAGGCATGAGCGAGCCAGACAAGGTAAGCTTGTGGTGTGGTTAATAGCTGACCATTGTTTGTCACCAGTATATATGGCTATGCTTTATAGGAAGTCTCATGGTGTGATTTTTTTTGCTTCATGTTCATCTTCGCTTGTTTATCAATTTTGATCCTACACTTGTATTTTAACTTACACATGCATCCACCACAGAGAAGCTGTCGGTGTGTCGGAAGCTGCGTCTGAAGCAGGTGTGCCGCTCCCTGCGCCGGCCCGGTGGCCGCGGGCGGTGCGCAGCTCGCCGGTGCGCCGGCGGCGTCCGCCCGGACCTGCTCCCTCCGGCTGCGGCCGTCATGTCGTCCTCCAGTCGCACGGCCAGCCCGCGCTCCGCCGCCCTCTCACGCACAAAGTCGGTCAGCTGGGGAGGTGCGTAATTGTTGAGCGAAAGCACAATCAGATTCATATGGGCACAGCTGCACAGTGCACACCGTACCTAGTGTGTTGCGCCCGATATGAATTGTGTCGACTACGATCACATATGATCACATAAGTGTAATTTGTTCCGCGTTCTTTGGCGTGCCGTACCATTGATCTCGCTACTTTTCTTTCAGGTCTGGACCGGAGTGGCGAATACTTTACGGACGTTCCTGGAGACGACGGGGATCTGTCCTCGGAGGACGAAATACGGGAGGACGTTTGGTCTAGCGAGGACGAGGACGATGGTGGTGGTGCTCGGGAGGACGGTAGACAGACGCCGAGTCCCGGTCGAGGGGAGGACAGTGTTGTGGAGGACGAGGACCGACATGCTCAGGGACGAGGACAGACGGTCTGAGGACGAGCATGCCGCCGACGAATGGGTCCGTGGGGAAGGGGATAGGGATGGTGGCCTTCCTGAAGAAGGAGCGTATTCTCACAGACGGGATGCGGTCGGAGAAAGTAATCCGAGCTCAGATGAGGACAGAGCAGAGGGCGGGGAGGAATCCGAGGACGAGGTGGGTCGCGAGGACTACGAGTCGTCCCACTACCGGGAGGAGTCACCCCTCGCGCCGAGGGGGGTCGGAGGGCGTAGTGACTCTGACAGTGACTCCGGCGCCGCTGCTGAGGAAGGGGACGGTGAACCGGACTGGTATCGGATGGAAGACTCGCGCGCGGCCGACATCAGACTGGAGCTGCGCTCCTCGCCCGGCCTGTCAGCTCCGTCCGGGGGCCGCCAGCGCCGCTCCAGGCCAGTCTCCGTCACGTTCTCTGGACGGCCGCCAGAGGCAGCACCGTCGGCGCGCAAAGCCGCACCTCGATCTCGTGCCACGTCGGCCTCATCACGGTCCAAAGGTAAGAGACCTGACTTGTGAAGAGCTACCAGGCTGAATTTGTTTGCGTTGGCCAGTCGCGCCTGTACCCCGCGCTTCATTTTTATTTTTGTTTTCTTTTGCTGTGCGGCTATCTAAAAAGGGATGTTTGGGATCAGATTCTGCTAGAAGTCAAGCCAGCGTCCTGTGTATATATCCACAAATGCTTTCAGAATGGATATGCTGGCTAGTACCCGTCACCAGTGTATACCTTGAGCTGACTCATCGTACCCTGCGCACGAGGCAGTTTCTTGTGCTGTAGGCTGGCCGCTACCCGTATCGCTAGAACTTCTCTCTCCGTACGCCAGACGAACAACTGTGCTTACTGCTGCTCTAGCTAGCCCCTCTGACCGCTTCTCTGCTGCCCCCGCCTCGTCTAGCCTCTAGGTGCTCTACGCCGCATTTAAAGGCGGAGGGGCGGCGGCACGACACTGCGACGATGTCTGGCGCCGAGAACAGGTAGGTACTGCTGCTTGCCGTTGTGATCAAATAAGGGCGACTGAGAGAGGCGAACTGGTGCTTCCCAGGACTTTTTAGTCTCAGTTCTCTCGATGTCTGTTTCATTAGTCTGAATATCCCCGATTAGTTAGCTGATTGTAGTGTCAGCTTAACCTCACAACTCAAGTGCTACTATAAGGTAGCAAAATGTGCGACTGAATTTTTTTATGTCCATTTTAAGGATTCTCTGGCCACCTAGCCTAGCTGCCTTTGCCAACGCCACTCTAACACTCTAAAAACCTTTCCATTTGTTGCTGGGGGACTGGACGCTGGGGGAGGAGATAATTCAATCACTATTACTGTAGTGTTTATGGCTGTACCGGGAGTGGGGCGTGTGACTGGGTGTCTGTGCGCGCCCACGCCGCCAGTGTGGCCTGGAGCTCCGTACCGTCCCTACGCACGGTCTCCGTGGCTGACCTGGCGTCCCTGCGGCACCTCGACGTCAGGTGGGTAGGTTTGGAGCCATGTCGTCTGCTGTGTCAGCCCGGCACGGCAGCTGGCTTACCACAGCTGCCAGACTAACTGCCAAAGCGGCGGCTTTCAGGCCTACATGACCGGACCTACCACAGCATCGGCTAATGGCAGATGGCCCGACACGCCCGCTGGTTTATAATAGTTACTGCACTGTGAAAGTGTATCACAGCCTTTACTAGCAGGCTGCCACTGTGTCAGCCTGACACAGCCGTCACGGTGCCACCCGCCCACAGCCGTCACAGCCGACAGAAGTGGCAGCCTGGCAGAGCATCCACAGCCTGCTGTGGCAGCCTGTCAAATCACAACCTCAGCTGTAGTTACCCAGCCCACCCGCTACTGTGACTATCTGCCACAGCCTGTCACGGCATTCGTTACCAGATCGCCGTTGTAGTTATTCCGGTGCACCCTTTCATCCTAGCTCCCATTTTGTCAGTTTGGCACTGTCTTCTCTACGTAAGAGAAAGCCTGTCATAGCTGCAGCATTGACTAGCCTGTCGCGGCTATTCTAGCCCAGAAATAATCACTACGTCAGGCAGTCGCAGCCGCTGCTATGATTGTACCATATCGGTCTGCACTGTCGACCCGTAGCCGTCACCCTTCCCATTTTCCAGTCATGTGCAATGGTACACTGTACATACACTGTACAGCATGCAGTGTCGTCCCGTCCAGCTGTCCGTGGTAAACCATCATTACAGACGGGCTTTGGCAGCCAGCCGGATACAGCAGCTACCAGACTCCGTGCACCAAGTTCACTGTCAGCGTCATTTCAGTGTTAGGACGTACACTGTAGTTACTAGTAGTACCCTGTAGTTACCCTGTGTAGTTACTAGTGGGGATATTGTGGCCATTACTGTTGTCTTCGCGTTGTCACTGCCAGCTTTTGTATGACGTTTGCTGTGGTTGATTGCGTTAGCTTAGCTCCCTCACTATTCTACCTCTGACTCTTAATTACTTTGTTACAATCGTTATGACTTTGGCATGCTGTTGGAAATGTTACAGTAAGCAGATTATCTGGCTTCTGGAATGTATGGTAGCCATAGTCAGCATTTCGTGTGTTTAGTGCTAATGCTCGGCTCCCGATCCACTTCTGGCTCCCTGTGCTCAGTCTTCATACGCAGTTTCCCGGTTCACCCTTGACCGGGGCTCACTTCCGTGTCCGGCAGCGACTCTGAGCTGCGTGTCCGTCCATCCGACCGGCGCATCCTGGAGCTCATGTCCCGTCGCCAGGAGCAGGAGCGGCTCCAGGAGCGGCACGCTGTCGAGGAGCACCAGCGCTGGCGGCAGGAGTGTCTGCAGGAGCTGCGCCGCCAGTCGGAGCGCCAAGAGCGCCGCGAGGAGGCGGTTCTGGCGCGCCGCCGGGCGGAGGCCTGGGAGAGTCGCCGGCGACGGGAGGAGCTCCAGCAGCAGCACTCCCAGAGCCTGGAAAACCTGACGGCGCTGATACGGGGACGGGAGGAGCGCGCTGCGCTGGAGCTGGCCGCACAGCGAGGGAGGAAGGTGGGTTATCGAGGGATTATGAGGGCGTCTCTCGTACAACCCGGTGGTGAGTAGTAGAGTAGGTGTCGGATGTGTCTGTGAGGCATCGCCTATCAGCCAGAGGATTCTGTCGACAGACGACACTAGACGATAATGATATATTCAGCACAGACAGCCTATCCGCAGTCCCTTATCTAGCCGCCCACCCACCGACAGGACGAGCAGCTGGCGGAGCGCCGGCGCCGGGAGCAGCAGCAGCAGCTGCTGACGGCTCAGCAGCGGGAGCAGCTGGAGTCGGAGGAGCGGGAGCGGCGCCGGGAGCAGCAGCGGCGGCTGCAGCGGCGCATGGACGAGACCGAGCGGCGCAGGAACGACATCGAGACGGCCCGCACTCAGGTCAGGATGGGATAGGAGTTGGGATAGGGTTAGGCACCTAGGTCAGAATAGTGGGCGGCAGACGGACGGGCGGCCGTGTATCTAAGTCAGTCGGGATGGGGCCGGCGACCTACCCAGAGCAGTCATTGGAGGAGTGAAGAGGTGGGAAAAAAGAAGGGAATGCATGCACATGCTTTTTTACATCACGTTCTGTACTGATGAGTGACGACATGATGAATGGTTTTGCTATGAGTGCTGTTAGGATGATATTGCAGGAGAAATGAAAGTCAAACGGATAGCATAGATTTCTGGCACAGACACTAAGCTCTTTTAAATTCCCACTGCTTTGCAAAGATGACTATATTACACAGTTGTCACTGCCACGCCATGCCATGTTGTCAATGTTGTACTTATCTCTCAATAGATGGCGCTAGTGTTAATACCTGCAAGGTATACTGTACCGCATAACATATGACTATAACCGCAGCATTCCGCGGCCTCGGTTCAGGACTGCGACGATATGAGATAATGTTCGGAACCTTTTTGGGTGCAGACTGTCCACTGAGCTCCTGCTCCTTGAGACACATGTCGGCTGGTTACCTTCAAGAAGAAGTACCAAGGATGAACGGAACGGATTCTGACGTGTACTTCGCACACTTCATCGGCTTCTTTTGACCAGCTGTACCCTGAATATGAATGTACTCTGAATACCGAGAAAGCATTAGGAGAGTGCTAGACTATTCTAGGTTGAGAGCTAGGCTAGGCTAGGATTAGACACAATACCAATTAGAGAGTAGCTGCGGGTCTAGCGGTACTACGTCTCACTGTTCTGTTGCCACCGTTACAGCACGTATCTGAGCTGGACGCCAGCTAGCTGGCGCTGAGTGAGGAGCGGATCCAGCCGTACCGTGTCTGACATCTCTGTACCGTTTCAGCACGTATCTTCTTTGAACGCCAGCTGGCTGGCACTCAGTGAGGAGCGGATCCAGCGGCTGGGCGATGCGGCCGAGAGGCGCAGTCAGAAGGTCTGGGAGGAGCTCAGCCGGCGGATTCAGTCGGCCGCCGAGAACCAGCGCCGCCTGGAGCGCGGCAGACGCGCGCACGCCGCCGTCAAAAGGTACGCACGCAGTCGGCTGTACTCTGCGACTCATGTGTCATCTAGTTCAATATTTTGTTGGTGGACTCACCGTTACTTCACGACACTGGCTGTTTAGAGAAGCCTGATTGCAATATGATTTATAATGCTATGCGTTTACCACAGCTGTTTTTGAATTCCTGAAAATGTATATCAGCTTCGCCCTTAAGTCTTTGCTGGATAACTGGTAGACCCGGCAGATTTCAACATTTCTAGTTTCAATTCGCATGTCTCCAGCCTTGATTTACCATAGTAGATAGGCTATATTCAGTCGCCCATCTCTCCTCACAGCGCGACGGAGAGCGAGCGTCGCCGGCAGGCGCGGGAGGCGCGGCAGCGGCAGCTGCAGCTGTCGGCTGGCCGGGGGAGGGAGGCAGCTGCCCGGCTGCAGCGGGACCAGCAGCGGGCCGAGCGGGTCGCCCGCCAGCTGGCGGAGAGTCGCCGGCTGGCTGTCAGTCGGGAGAACCTGACCAGACAGAGCAGACACCAGCAGGCACTGCGACAGTGAGTGATAGAGGATAAAGATAGTGGCAGGAGAGTGATAGTGAATAAGCGACAGGGGGCTCTGGAGTCTGGAGGGAAGGGTAACAAAGCGACATGCTGGGAAGGAAGGGGTACTCGACGCTAGGGGAAATGGAGTGGTCTCATGCTGAAGTAACTCCAACCTTATCGTGTGCTCGACTGCAGAACGCCAGGTTATCTTTCATCATGACTAAAAGGTTGCTTGCATGATGTCTAAAGGAACCTGATATAATTTGGTAAGCTCGTTGCAAACCTAGAATCGCTATTCGCTGCGTCAGGGACTATTTTGGGTAGCGTGTTTACATGACAGGCTCCCTGTTAGCAGAATGATAACTGTTATGTCTGCCTTACAGTATCCGTCAGATGGAGGAGCAGGTGCTGGACGAGGCGCGCTTCAAGCTGCGCCTGGACGAGGCCCGCGTGGAGCAGTTTGTACAGCAGCGCGACATGGCCGTCATGTCGTCTCGGCACCTGGCCCACGTGGCCGCCAACCTGCGACAGGCTGTCAGGTGAGGCCGTAGGTTAACTACAGCTGCGGTGTCATGGGTTGACACTGCTGGGTCATTTCCTGCATAGCGGGGCGCGACTGCCGGGGTAAAGGGAGGGTCTGTTTACTGTTATAAATATGTGGCGTGTCACGTATCAGTATGGCATTAGCTGGATGTGATATTTGGTTCACATGTAGCGAATCCGGCGGAGCGGCTTCCCGTTACTCGACTAGGTATACAACAGATCAGGGAGATGTCCGTCCTAGCACTCACCGAGATACGGTTTTTGCGGTGCATGACTCCTCAAACGAACGTTCTAAAATCGTTCTCCGCTATTATCTCACGTTCGTTCACCTCACCCCCAGGTCAGGTGACCGGTCGGCCACATTTGACCGGATGGCGGCGCGGGCCGACCTGGAGAGCCGTGTGCTGTACGGACCTGCCCACGCCGGCTGCGACAGGCTCTACAGACCCCGCTCACAGACCCATATCCTGTAATCCGTAACCCTGGGTAAGTGGGGTGGCTCCAATAAATAATTGATTTGGGTATGTGGCAATAGCTGGAAGCCGTCGCAGCAGTCTATTACATTTAGCAGGTCGCATTTAGCAAGTTAGCAAGTCTTTAGTCGCATTTCGTGGATTGGTGCTGTTTGCATTTTATTCATTCCAGCCTATCAGAAGAATCAGCTCCGCGGATGGTCGACCATATTATTTGATGTGTGTGTCTGCCTTATGGGCTGGATGCTTCTGTAAGGAATCTTCCAGGATATGAAGACCGGATGATGGATATTGTAATTAGTCAAACGTACGATTGTTTTTTTTCTGTATGTGATATCAACTTGATCTGTCGCGATATTGGAGAGCTTGCTATATTTTGTTGTCCTCACACCGACGGCTCTTGCCGGCGGTGGAATGTTTTGTGTACGTTTTAGGTCGCTTTGTCCCTTTGTCGTTTGGCACTAAGGTGCTATAATTATTGGTCATTTTTATTTAAGCATTCAGCACTGAACAGCTGATGTATGTGATGTCCTGTGCAACAGCTCATTTCCATTCTAAATGTTTATGTGTAGAGCATCGAATCGATCAGTGTGTTCGCACCGGACACCTTTTTGACGGACGAAGGACTCGTGTGCAATATGTGAAAAACGCATTAACCAGCGTTGGGTGTTAGTCACTGTTTTTGGGCGCCGTGTTATGTGCCCGGTGACTGCCGTCCGGTGCAGAAGAACGCGTACAAACTGAGGAACCATATCACTGCCACCCGCAACGTACGGGCTTCGTCTGCTCGTCACCTTTGGGCGACTCTTTAGTGCAATGATGGCGCTTCCTCACATTGTGGAGGCATTTCCACCGCTGAATGTCTGTCGTTAGATGATTGTGTTGTGATGTGGTCCGTCATTGAAAGAAATACAGCTTTTGTAGAAATCTGGTTATCTTCAGGCTCGGAAAGACGCATTGGTTCACAACTTGATTTCACGCTGAAACTGCGGTGTGGTGATAGTAGCTGTGTGCCCGGAGCATTTGTGTGAAAGCCCAATGCAGCCAAGGTCCTAAAACTATTGCAACGGTATCGAATTATCTTATAGCTCATACAGCCACTGAATTCGGCAAGCTGCGTAATCCTAGCTCAATTGACCGCGCCACGGGTTAGCCTTTTCGTTTTCCACTTCACTCTTATTCAACTAACACACTCAACTTCGCTAACAAACCAGGTCCACAGTTCAGACAACCTATATTAACAAGGATCAGCATAAAGGCATTATGACACACATAATTAAGGACTGGGCCCGGCCGTGCGCCGGCTGACCCGCGCCGGACCCGCTATAACCCCCACAGCAGCCGGCTCCCACAGTTCGTACCTGTCGCGACCACGGCCTCTGTCCACCGGCAGCCCCGCAGTGGTTCTGGAATGTTGGGGCGGAGCCCGATGTCTGATAAATCGCGCAGCACCTTCCCTTAGCCACGACTCGGCCAGACATGACCTCCTCGCGCTGTAAGATGGACTCACCCAGTGAGTGCGGTTGGAACGAGACTGAAGTGGCAATGGGAGAACAGACAGTGGTCGAGCTGCCCCAGCAATAAGCCTCTTGTCCTAGTCGGGCACGCCCGTTATGGAAAACGACACGGGTTCCGCGGCTCTAGAATGCCACCGACAGAGCTTCCTGGGTTTCAGCGACCATTCCATCACAAGACCGCTCCTTTCATGCGCTGCGAAATCCGCCAATCAACCGGCCAGTGATCGCGGACTAAACAAAATTATGAGTAATTTGTACACATGGATTGCGGTCAGTGGATAAAACATTTCTCTTCGCGCGGCGCGGGTCGTTGGAACAGCGGCGGCGGCCCTATTTCGCCGCGAGTATCAATCACGTTTTCTCACGTTTTCCTGGCGCGACACACGCACACACCTATACTGACTGTTGGGCCCGGTGGCAAACTAACACCCGTCGTACCTGGATCGAGCAGTGGCCGGGTCCGGCGCCCTGCCCGCCACACCACCGTATCACGTTACTAAGCACATCACAGACGCCCACAGTACACACCCCGCCCCCACCCGCACACGGATAAACACGAGAGAGAACGCCGGCGTCGGCAGTCAGGTTTGATTTCCAGTCGGAGTGATGAGCCGGCGGCCGCTAGTTGTCTCCGCCGGCCGCTACGGCGGTAGCGGCGCCACCGTCGCCGGCCGCCGCGGGCTTGGAGACTCCGTTGGTGGCCGGGGTAGAGTTGGGCAGAGCGTTCTCCTCGCTGCTGCTGCTGACCTCCTCACTGGAGTCGCTTCGGGAGTCGCCCTGGATCTGTGAACAAGCCGACGATAGCGGGGAGTCGTTAGAGATCGGGAACAGGCGGACTGGGGTCTCAGGGCACTGAACGCAAATACTCCGGACTTCGAAACGATGATATTCGGGTCAGTTGTGCAAATTGCACTGAGGTGCAACAAACTAACTTATACGCTACGTACTATTGGAAAGCTGAGTACGCGGGTGCAAGTCTTGTCAACAGCCAACAACTCACATCAGAGCTATTGCTGATTTTACAACCTTTAAAACCGCCACCCGCATCTTTTCAACACCGACTATCGGTCGCCATCGGCGAATGAGCCTACACAGTCGCCCAATACCCACACAGTGCCACTCCCATATAGACTCCCATTCAGGACCCTCCCAACCCCTGTCGTGCCCCGCCTCCCCCTGCAGCGCAGAGACCCTACCTGTCCGGCACTGAGGGCCTGGTAGGCCATCAGCAGGATGTAGTAGGTCCAGATACAGTGCAGCACCAGCAGGCCTATCAGCATGCTGTTGAAGATGTAGTAGGCCGGGAAGAACTCGACGATGTAGGTGGCGTCGATGGTGGTACTGTGGATGGCACGCAGACACACTGTCATATGTGACATGACAAGGTCGAGCTGCGGCGTCCGCGGCCAGATGGCCCAGCCAGGGCGCCATACCACTGCCGGTATTTGGACACGGAAGAGAAATGCGTCTAGGCTACTGACAGACATAGACACTAACACAGAGCGTGTAACGAAACCGAAAAACCGAACTTGACACCGATATTTTAATGCAAAAAAAAAAACACCTAAGCCTTGTCACGGCTAAAATATTGAACTACAAACTGAAAATCAAATGATTAACAAAACAGCTCTGGTCAAAACAATTTATGTTCATTTCTTTAAACATGGATCAGGTTAACAAAGAAAAAGACAAGAGAACGGAAAAAAACGAAAGCAAGGATACGAGAACCTCTAAACGCACGATGCAGTCAGTGTTCCCAAACCAGACGGATTGGCTATCCCTCGTCAGGAGCGCAGGTGGCATCGCAGAACGGAAAGGACAAAAGATGAAACAAAGTTTCGGGTAAAAGACAGAGGGTAGGGCAAACATGAGCATATGCTAGTAATGATAGGTACTAAACAGGCAATGAAATAGGAAGGAGGGCGCGGAAGAGAAGAGACAGGGCACATAGGTATAGGGAAGGGGGATGAAGGAAATGTGAAAAATGAATATGCGACGAAACCGAGGTTCGGACACGGAACTAAGGTCAGGTGGATTAGGTTCATTACAGGTATGGGGTGAAAGAGCATATAATACAAAATAGCAAAGGCATACGAGGGCGGCAATATGTACATTTTAAAATATACATGTGAATTGTGATATACTATCAAGCAATAGTAGTATCAAGTATCAAGCAATATTGTGATGATGAGGATGGCGCAGTTAAATTCTTAGTGTAGCGTAGTACTCGTACACAGATGATCGTGTCCTCCAATAAGGCATAAGCTAATGGTTAGATAAAGACGGTAGCTTCCTGTAAAGCGGTAGCAGTACAATTGTCTTTTACAACATAGCTAAAAGCTAGAAATGGCTCCACAGTTTGTGAAATGTAGGTTTAGTTATCAACGACAGCGTAATTCATACACATAGCTTAGCAAATTTGTGACACGCATTTTTACATGATCGCGTTAGGACGCTTAGTTTGCTTTGATGTAAAGTGTTACCATAAAAATTTCAGTTGCAGAAACCCGCTGCACATGATTTCCTTCTCTGCAATGATAACAGACGAAATCGGCGAAAATTTGGATCCTGTTTGGTGTTTCAATGTTGACGGCAACTACAGCAAATTGCAGCTGGTTTCTATAGTAACCGGACCTTGGCAAACACGGTTATCCGGCATCATTGACAACTCTTTGAAGCCGTCTGATTGAAATGTTTCCAATGAGCACCAATAGCTTGCGTTTGAGAGTTGTCAGCGTCTTCAAACACAGAAGCATGACAACGAACAAAATTAAGGCATGACAAACCCACGAGCGAGCAAGTGGCTGGCAACTTTATCAATCTAACAGGAGCAAGGGCTGACTATTTATACGGTCTACCAGCCAACCATGTCTGACACTGCATGGCCTGCATGGAACTGAAACGCTCATTAGTCATTACATTTCTAGCATCACATTTCTAGAGTTAAGACTGACAACGCCACGCATCACCCAGCCTGAGATAGGCAAGTCTGTAGGTTAGAGGGGGCTGTGCAGTGTAGTAGATCACACGCGCACACCGCCAAACGCACGCACACACGCACACAGCGAGTCTCTGTGAGTGGGTTAGCCGGGAGGAAGGGCAGAGGCGCCGTCCCCTGTCTCCGAGGCGTTAGCGTGTCCAGGTGAGACAGCAGCATCGAGCCCATGTTGTGTCATGACCAGCACCGCGTCCATGAGCAGACGGGGAGGGCATAGACAGAGAGAGGAGAGAGCGCGAGAGAGAGACAGAGCCGCGGGAGGGGCGGCCACTGCCGGCTCGGCCGCCGCCGGCCCACCAGTCTGAAAAACGGACGGACGAGGGGCTGATGTGGTGTGGCGAGGACTGAAAGGACGGGGTGGGACAGGCCGGGCCGGGCTGAGGCCGCCTTCGGGGCACCACCCCACCAGAGGACCCGACCCAGGGCGCCCCATACCCCGACAGAGGGCGTTCCAGCCGCGGCCGCACTGACTATCCGGTCCAGTTAGGCAGGAGCGGAAACGGATAGGGTGCACGGCCAGAAGGCAGGAGCAAGCACCGTAAGGCTCTGGTCCCCCAATTTTGTTATCCCATGAACAAGGAATGCGACAAAACAAAATTTGACAATCCCCTCCAGTCTTACATTTTATTACAGAACCCGCCTGCATGCATTATCATTTGGGAAGGCTGGAGGCCTACAGCGGCTTTTAAAGTTTGCTGCCCCACAGCTAAGAATAAGTTCCAAATTGTTCTAAGAGAGAACGGACCTTCTTTGCGAGCCTTTGGTCCCAGGCTACGCCACTTATCGCACATTTTGTTGGGCAAGCCAAAGACCGGCTCTCCCGTTCGGTTTACTCGTCCAAAGACCCTCATTCAGAGTTCAGTTTCATTTCAGCGTCACTGCCTGCGCTGCTGACATCAGAGGCGGGGCGCAGTGAGTCCCCGGGCAGGGTCAGAGTCTGTGAGGGGACGGCGGCAGCAGCGTGTGGTTAGTGGGCCCAGCCACCAGGCAGACAGTTACATGACGGGTGCCACCGCACGCGCACAAACCGCGCCCCGAGCCAGACACCGGCAGTCGCGGCCGACCCGGAGACGCCAGTGGAATAGCGTAAGACAGAGGGCAGAGCGACAGACAGACGGACGGGCAGACGGACGGACAGCCAGACTAAGAGAGAGATAGAGAGAGCCAGAGGAAGAAGAGCGCCGGTCGGTGCGGCGGGCGAGGGGCGGCCGGCGCTCGCGGGCGGCTCGGCGGCGCTACTCACCGTTCGGGGGCACTCAGGATGGGGAGGCCGGTCGGCAACAGTGCACACGTGGGGGGCTCATCGAACAGGTACGTGCTGGAGACAGAGAGAAAGAGGCGCCGCAGCCGGCCGGCCGGCCGTCAGCCGGGCGGCGGCCGCCGGCGCGCGCGCGCCGCTGTGACCCCGACCCCGACCTGACCCCGACAAGACCCCGAGCCGACCCCGCCTGCCTCTCCTGCCTGCCCAGCCAGCCGTACTTAGATTACTGCTGCGCCGCCCTTCGCTGGTGCAATATGTGGACGCAAAGACACCCGAGGGGCAGAAAGGTAGCGCCCGGACTTACCTAATAGGCTGTACTTACCTCAATCTAGCGTTACCAGAAATGCGCCCAAAGTTAACAGAAAGCCTGATTATTATTTGGATAACATCAAGGGAAGTTGACTTGCGGATCGCAAAGTTAAAGGGTTATCATCTTTACAAAAGCAACTAGTGCTGAGTCAGGTCTCCGTATGGAAATAGAAAAATTCGTTTCGACTTCGCGACGAAGATACGCAAGTACCAAGGTTGATAACAATCGAAGCATTTTGAAAAACAAACTTTTCAAGACATCTGCAAAAAACCTAGGGATTGCAGGCTTCTCAAAACGAGCCATTTATGGGAACATGAAGACCTGAATCAACCACATAGTCATGTAAAAATGGGGAAGAAAACCCTTTTAGCGACATCCTGAAGCCCACAGCCAGCGTCGAGTCCGGGAAATGCCTTTTATTCAAATGGTTAAATAAGCCTTAATGATCTTACATCTCATTTCAAAACGGTGGCCCGAAAGTTGGCTGCGTTACGAGAAAGAGCAGAAGGATGCAGGTATCGTGGTTCACAAAGGACGTTTCGACGCGACACCCAACGCCAGGCGGGTTGAAACCCCCGCCCGGGGCAGTATAGATTAGTACCTGCGAGCGACGCGTTACCTCCGCCCGAACCAAGCAGTGAGACAGTGCCGCGGAAATAATGACTGGACTGATCTGTGCTCCGACGACCTTCGAGTGACATCCAGTGACCTCCAGTGACCTCCGGGGACCTCAGGGGACTCACCAAACGACCCCAGTGCAGGACCCACTCCCCAGCCAGTGCCCCGCACGAGAAAGGCGGCGTCAGCCAGCGCGGCAGGCAGGCAGGACGAGGCAGGACGGGACAGGTCGGGTCGGGTCGGGTCGGGCTGGGTCAGGTCAGGTCAGCAGGTCACAGCAGGGCGCCAGCAGGCCGGGCCAGCCGTGCTGTCAGCTGGCGCGTGATCGAACACGCGACCGTTCTGAAAAACAGCCTCAACAAAACAAACTCAACCAAACACTAGTCTACAGACAGGCAGAGTGCGAAATGCTGAGTGCAATACGCGCGCGAACAATCGGGCGGAGGGCCTTACGACCAGGCTCCGCATATGTCTAGACGGTGTAACAGTCAGACATTCGCGGCGACAGGCACATGTATGACCGGTGGCGTCTGGCCGCGGGCCGGGCCCCGGCGCGCGTGCAGCCACTGCCGCCCCATGCGGCCGGTACGGGCCCGGTCGGCCGGAGCCGCCAGCGCGGTGGGCCGGGGGTTTGGTCCCCGCCCGCGGCGGCATGCGCTTGCCAGTCCTCCGCCTCGAGCACAGTGCACACTCCAGTCACCGTCACCAGCCCAACACAAACACGCCTCTAGCACAGTGCAGTCTCTGTCTCAGAACACCCACGCACAAACGCATAGACACAGACAAGTGCACACGAGACCACGACGCGTGAACAACCCTCAAGTCAGACCAATGACTCTGCATCGAACCGTAAAATACACCCCACCCTCGATCACTGACCCTGATTACACAGCTGAAGACACAGACAACTATGGACACTACACATGGCACGACACCACAGTCGCTGACACAACAGAGTCCAAAGGATTTACTTCGTAAGCATTTTGTAAATGTCAACACTCCACACAACCTACCACAGCCAATTCTATTTTTTTTCAACACCACTACCGCATCCCATGCTTTTTTTGCAAAAATATACGAAGTGACGCTTGTTTCCCCCACGAAAACGAATGCCAAGACTGGAAGACAATAAAAAATGTGATTGATAGAAACCAATATGCCATGAAAAATGACTCACGTTTCAGTGATGCATGTGAAAAATATGTAGTTAGAAGTTGCAATGCCATGTATTTGCACAGAGGTTAGTTGCTATGCAAGGCACCTAAGGTGTCAGGAAGAACCGGAAGGTGAACCATTCCACTTAATGACATTGAAGAAAAAATAACCCACATCTAATGAAGAACGTCAAAAAATTATCATGCCTGCTCGACTAAAAGAGGTAAAAGAATACACACTGAAACACGATAACAGCGGCCAAAGGGCACCGAAAACTATTAAGAGCTTCACAACCATGAATAACATGGTGTCATGTTCACAGTTATCACACCGCGGGACAACCCACCATCAATCGACACAGGTATCACGTGACCAACCACTGCTAATCACCACAGTGTCACGTGACCAGCCACCAACAAAAATATCAAGTGAACTCAGCGCCTAGTTTCTAATCAAACGTGCAGCCCAGCACCGATCATGACCTTGACCTACGACCTTGACCTGGTCACGGGTCACGGCACATGCAAAGCCGACGCCGCTTAATTCCTATCAATATTTAGAAAAAGAAACGGGAGCTGACAGAGCTACAGAAAGAGAAACACAGACAGACAGACAGACAGACAGACACAGCGGCTGCGGAGCTGGGAAGCAGTATGACGACTGCGGCGGCAGGGGCGGGGGCGGAGGCGGTGCCCTACCTGTACAGGATCCAGCCCGGGTAAATGCCCAGACGGGTGACTATCCAGATGAGCACGAACACGGCAAACGTGACGTCACACAGCATCTGCAGCTGCAGGTACTTGAACATCTTGGCGCCCTGTCGACAGCGGATGCAGGGGGCGACTGAGTAAGAATGAGGCTTATCGCGATAAGGGGTGGGAATGATGGCAAAGTAGAAGGGGATGGTGAGGGCGAAAGGCGCACAATACTACGCTGCTGGTCGGGACAGCCACGGTGGCCAGCTCACGTGTGGTTGCACTGGTGAGGGAAGGGCCGATACGGACACTAGCGCCTGTTCTATGCACTGCACACTGCACAGACCTTTCTGGACGGAACATTTTCCAGCGATTCGACAATCACAGACAACTTTATATCCCTATCTGTCACCTCACACTTACTTCGGGTCTGTAATACCTAGAACACATTTTCTTGCCTTCCTTTCTGACAAGAAACCTTCCTTCATACCTCAGATTGGTATGAAGCGAACGCATTTTCAGCAAAATCTTCCCTCAATTCCTATCCCACATCCTGGAATGTTCTCTCAACTGATATCTGCCCAAAATAAGACTTTATCCGTCCCTGCACAGATAACGGTTGTCGACACCATCTCCCCAGATGCCTAAAGATCACACTCTGACTGCAGTGCCACTGAGTGCTGCCCCGCCTCTCCACCCCTCCCTCCCAAGTTCACAGAGTTTCATCGCCCCAGCCAGAGACACGCTATGCCGTTCCCTACAACCCCACATCTCCCGGGTTTTGCAGACGCTGTATCCCGTCGGCCCAGACCCAGAAGGGAAGAGGGGGGTGCCCCAGCCCCTTCCGGTCTGATGTGATCAGCAAATAGTTCACCTCAGGTCACATTGGTCCGGTCAGAGTCGGGGGTGGCAAGGAGCCAGAGAGCCCGGCGAACGAATTCTCCAGTCTAGGAAGATTCATCAAGCTGTCTACCTCTTGCAGAAACCATCCAAGGCGCCGAATCAAAAATGAATCGCCTCTGATTTGTGCCCATTGAAACAGGGTGAGAGTGGGAGCTATCACACTCCCTTATAGCAGCATCGGCCTTTTCATCTAGTCATGAGACCAGCTGACCTAAGGTGTCTCCCCACAAATGCGCCCACAAGAACCATGCAAAACAGTGTTGACAGTTCTAGGTGCCATTAGCGTAGACACGGTAGCTTCAGCATGCAACAATCACGAGAGGATCCAGTCTCCCACAACACAGCCATGCCTTATGAATCACGTAGACACCCACACCCCCTGTCACCCGCGCTCCTAACAACCCAGACATCCGATCGACACCTATTATCAGGCCATTACCCGGCAGTAAGTGACACTCGCTAACAACCTTCTCCCATTATAGTGCACTCTCAGTCAGGGTTTAAGTGTCCCTAAAAGACCCGACAGTCGGCCGCTCATCCAAACAGCAGTCAGCTGTGGGATGATTTACGCGACAAATAGCAGCAGCGTCCCAGCGCGTCATAAGGCGTCACATGTGATAGAGGCAAGTCACAGCTGTCGCCCGGTCCGCTGCGATTACCATAATTTGGAACGATCATGCCGTCGGAGCGCTCATTTCCGCCTCATGTAGCTACGACAAAGGGCCGGGCAAGGCAGCACGGGGACGGGGAACGGGCGGCACGTGGTCTAACCCCCGTCGCTGGTTGCGAGTAGCGAGTAGTTCTCCACCGTGGCGCGGCCGGGCGGACAGATTGTCGCCTATCTGAAGAGGCCGGAGATAACTCTGTAGCATCTACTCTGCACTGAGCAGATACCGATCGTCAGAGGCCCTCAGACAGAATTGGGGAGGGGAGTTCTGTTGTGGCGTCGTGACCCGGGCTATAGGGTACGCGCAGTTACCCGTCGCAATCGCATGAGCAGTTATTCAGTCGATCAGCTGTGAAAGATGCACCTGATACTTAGACTTCTGTGATACACAATACAGACTAGACTCTGTCCTGATAACTGAAAGTTAGTCACGTCACAGGGCCGGCAGACAAGCGCAGACCACCAATGTAATGAATTTGTGAACGAAATTATCGCTTATTATTTCATAATCACAAGGTGCAGGCTACCAGTCATTATCCAGAAATAGCCCTGTAATCAATCTACATCTTGAACGTCCTATTCAATACCCATCTACTATGGGTGCTTCAATATGTAATCGGTGACAAAGAATCCATATACGCAGCGGCTGTTAGTCAATACGGTAGGCGGATCCTTTCTTGTGAATAGCTGAATGGTGTCTCGAACAGCAAAAAGCCGATCAGTGTGTGCGTTTTTATCCGTCGCAAAAACTGCATTCGGTTGTTGGTGAAGGCGACGTCACAGAGATTTTTGCCCCTGTTTCGACGGCCGATTATGTCAGCCGGCAGAGGGAACACTGCTGTTTCGTGTCACCTACTGAGTTGAGCGCAGCGGCCGACAGAGCGATTGTCATGCTAGGCGTTTATCTTCGTAAACTAGACGTTACAGCCACTCAAAGATAGATCGACTTATCAGGCATTCCCCTCAAAGATCAAGTGCCCGAGTTTAGCTCCCAGCACCATCCCGAGGTGGGAAAGCAAAGTAGAACATCACATCCTGTGGTCAGTGCTTTCACGGACAGCTAATTTAGGAGTTTCAAGCCAGCTTTCGATGTTTGAGATGAGATGGATGCAAAGTTTGCTATCAAGGACCAATGAATAAATCATATGAGACCGAGATTACCTGAAGACAAAGCCGGTATTTTTGGACGAGTACGCCGCCGGACTGAGTTAGATACTGAATTACGCCTATGGCAATGCGTCATGGGCACTGCAAGAATAAGTCAGATTAAGTTACTCTTTAGAGAAGAGCTACATAGAGCGATGTGAAATCGCTCACTTTTGTGCTATTTCGCTTGGTGCTTTGCATTCGATCTACAAACTCACAATGCGTATGAAGCCACACTAAATCACACCACTCAGCAACAAACTAAAACCGACGAGACTGAGCCGGCTCTGTCCAGCTTTAACCAGCACTGACCGCCCAACAGAGCCTTATGTCCGGTGTGAGCCGGTACCGTCAGTGCTCTGGGGGGGGGGGGGGGGGGGGGGACTGGGTGGCACTTTGTGAAGAACTAACCAGCAGGAAGATATCAGAGATGTCGTGTACGATGAGCGTCAGCGTGCCGATCCTGGTAAAGTTGCACGCCCAGGAGAACGACAGCAGGCTGATGGTCACCAGGTGGTGCAGCAGCATCTCCCAAAAGTCCTACAGACAAGACACACTTTGTTAAAGTGATATGCCAAGACGACCAAAAGGTATTATAGAAAAACATAAGTAGGGCATAAGAGAAAACAAAAATCAACGCAAACGTTAGCAGATAATTACGTGAATACCATTTCTGAAAAGGCTTGCAAACACAGTCTTCTTATAGCCGGCGGATAGTGGTTTATGGCGGGCCCAAACTCCTGGCTACATGCGTTCCAGACAACAAACGCGGGCACAACAGCGACAGATACACTTCCCACCTCTCGAAATATATTCAATTTTTGAGCCGCATGCACGTACGGCGACCGTGGGTTATAACGTTATTCATTGCACATTATCATTTCATCCACGCGACGACGACCAAAGCTTAAGGTACATCCGCGGCAGAATCTGAAGCAAACAGCCGAACATTGTGTTACGGATTAACCCGGCAGTTGCTGGGGTATTTCGCCACCCACCGTTTGCTGGGGGGGGGGGCGTTAAACGCCCCCAGCCGATAACTCGAGAACCAATAGGCGCAGCGAAACGCACGAGGCGGCAAACGAAAGAGCGCGACGAGACGCTTCAGATGAGTACTTTAAAGTTGAATTTTGAGGTCACAGGTCGGGTCAAGGTCAGGTCAAACACCTGAAATCGGGCTTTCAGTAGCATGGACTTCTGGACTTCGCAATGGGCGCCTCTCGTCATAAACTCTGTTAAAACGGTGCACAATTCATCATATAAGGCCTACAAGAGTGTCAGCTCCATGTAGGGGTCAGTCAAGCATAGGTCAGGGTCAAGGTCAGGTCAACCGGGTACGCACATATCCCCGAAAATCAAAACTGATATTCGCAGCCTGTGACACATGTTTTATAGGTAATTTGGGGCGTAGAACACGATGGTGACATTCATTTTATCATATGTGTACGTGTTTGGCTCAAAAAGTTCAATTAAAGAAATGCATATATCATGGTCGTGAAGAAGTCACGAAAAATTGCCAAGATTCAGTTCAAGATTATGGAAAATGCGGAACGATAATCAATAATCGAAGATAGCCATTTGATTAATCATGGTTTTGGCAGTTTAATGGCGTTTACGGCATGTCTGTATGTCTATTCTGTGATTTTATATGATTTTTTGAGCATATGCCGTTTTTGGTCGAAAACTCAGAAATCATGACGTCACTAAAACCTCGATATCTCAAAAATTTTCCGACCGATTTTTTTGAAACTTTGTCACAATAAACTTCAATCAATTCCCTACAGGTACCCAAAATTTGGCGCGCCTGCGGCGCGCCGTTTTTATGCTATGGCCCGGCGAAAAAAGTGGGGGCGTTTAACGCCCCCCCCCCAGCAACTCGCGGGTTAACAGGTAAGCCCCCATCTCTTCCGTACCTTATGTTTGACGTCGAAGAAGTGCCGCAGGGTCATAGACCAGTAGAAGCTGAGCGACAACATGTAGTACCACCACACGTCGTTATCCATAGGCTGAAAGAAAGCAAAGGGTTATCAGAGCATCCCATAAATGTTGGTTGGTTTTGAAACATATTGTCGAATGAAAAGATAATTAATGTATAGAAACGGCTAAATATAACTTGTAGAAGGCCGACACCTTGCCATCGATTGTTAGTTTTGAAGAAACAGTGATGCAAAAATTATAACGTGATGCGGTTTGTGCGCAAAACTATTACTGATTTCTCCACATTTATTATAATTATCTTGCTTGAAGATGCCTCAAATAACACGAAACATAACGTAATTGGTCATAAAACAACGTAACTCAAAGGATTACCAGCATGTCACGGTGCAAAATGCATAGCATGTCACTGATAACGGTTTATTATTCAAAGGTTACATTTAGCTTCTAGGAGTGCTCGGTGAACTGGCCGGAAAATACACATGTGTCTTCCATATTTAGCGCAGACGCGCCGCCCTAATGAATGTCGCCGCTGGCGAGGGCGATGAGCTGCACTGTCAGCGAAGTGCGGTAACACCTGCCCACGGCTTGTTATGTGTGTCGCGCCGCCATGCAAGCTTTAGTGACGGTCGTATAACTAGAGCACACATGTCAGCAGATCGCCCTGTCCGCTGTTATTGCGCTGAGACAGTGCATTGCTGTTCATGGGTGGACCGCCTGCCCAGAATTCTGGCACACAGTGCCCCACACCTCAGTAAACTACGTCAGCGAGTAGCGTCTCAGCCCTCCACAGCCAGTTCCGGCCCGCACCTCGGACCGAACCAGCTACCCAGTCACGAACAGACCCGAGGCGCCGCTGGACGGCACACACCACCGGGTACACACACTCCGACGACACACTCCCCCGGGTCGCAGGCCGGCGTCGGAGCCGGCCGGCCGACCCAACAGGCACGACAGACATTCCCGACAGACGCACGAAACCGATCGGTCAGCGCGGAACGCGACCCACCCACGCCGACCGGTCAGAGCGCCGGCCACGGGAACTGTCGAGCAAACAGCGCAATGACTCCCAGTCACGTGCCAAATAGGACGGGCTATTCTGAATGGCGCTCACGCCCTCAGTGGTCCCCATTCAGGGCGCGTGCCACTCGGTCGATAGCGCATTGATCAGACAGACGAACGGTCGACAATGACCAGTGACGGACGCTGTCGCGGGCTTCGGCGATAGACGCCGCCGCTCGATACCATTCAGGAATGGGCAAAAGGGATAGGAGAATAAACAGCACTACTCCTTTTGATGCAATATGATGGCCGGGTAGGAATCTACGACACATTCCGTTTCACACGGATTCAAAATGTACGCCTCCACATTTTGTGACATTAACTAACACGTAAACATCAACGTAACCCCGATAAATGACACTATAGTTGCAGACTCATCAGACCCCTCCCCCTCCCTCGGCGTGCCACGCCCACCCCCCGGCGGCCGGGCGGGGTGAGGGGGGGGGGGGGGCGTGGCGTGCCGGGTTGGCGTGGTTGGTTTCCATAACCGTAAAGGCACACACGGCCGGCCGACCGGACGACCCCAGACCGGCGCCCGCCGACCGACCGACCGACCGACCGACCGAAGGGCTAACCGTAGACGGGCATGTGCACTGGACGGGGATAGCTCCCAGCGCGCAAAATGATCGGAGCTTTAGCGGGGGGAGTACAGCGAGAGCGGGCCAGTAGACACAATGCCTCACGAGGATGCGGAAGCCTATCAACGAACCAATTCCTCGAATTATTCTACGAGACATTGAAAAACGGAGGCATCTCCCTTCGCATGTATCTCGTGTAGACTCACTCCCAAAATAAACTCAGACCCGCTTGGAGCATACACATTAATGAAAGCATATATTATGAAAGATTCCATTAAAAATGTATGGGCCAGGTGGGAAAGCATGGACGGACTACCGGCTAAGTAGCCGGAAATTCCTGTTACCTATTCATCATGGGAGCAAGGTTCCAAAAACGATATAATCGATGATCCAAGCAATGTCTGTCGACTCTTGTAGCACATTGCCAGACCACATAAGTATCGGAACAACAGGTGACGTGGGTTGCTAGTTACGCGACCAGGTATTTCAGAAACAGTTGTGATAGGAAATGCTTCGATATGCAACATTGTTACATTCACGGTCGAAGCCTGATCCACCGCTAGTGCTGTCATCATTCATATGGCATCAGCGCCGAAATCAGAGGACACTGAAGAAACCACGTAATTTTTGGTTTGGACAGGTCCGAAGAGTGCCTGTACCTGGGACTTGTCAACCGTAAACTACAACCTGCGATTAAAACGAAAGACGATACATTCATCAGCGGAACGCATATCAACGAGGATTCAAAACTAGGCTGTGTCGTCGTGTGACACTGCATACGGAGTCCGCGCGTGCTGCATCTCCACGATCGCGTCCCAGAAGCGCCCGCGCCGGGTACTCACGTGGAACGGCATGTTGTAGAAGCAGTGGCGGATCTCCCAGAACCAGGCCTTGTCCCAGAGGGTGTGCAGGCCATAGCAGAAGATAAACAGGTAGTAGGTGAACTGCCACCTGTAGATACAGCAGACACACGTCAGTAAGCTTCGATGAAGGGAAATAAGCGTTACAGACCAAGGTTCCAACAGCAAATGTGTTCAGACATGGACCTTGGGAGTGTGCTTCAGCTGGAAGACATTCCAGCTCCTCCGCAGTCCGCACACTTAACATCCTCCCACATTTATGTTCAGCAGCTAACATCCAAACACTAGGAAATCGCAAAAACACGTGGTCATACGATAGCACTACATACAATATACATCTGTCAGGATTCTACCATAGTCCAATCAAAACTTGGCCCAAACTACTCGCTCATCCCTAACACACCACACCACAACCCTTCCAGATTCCATTTCTCTTCTCTCATTCCATACCCTCCCCATTTCGCACATACAGGCAGCACCATAGGCTGGACTATTTAAATACACTGTGGCTGCACAAAACGTGCCTGGCCCAGCCGGGTGGTGTGACTACCCGTATCAGTAACGCCGGCGTCGAACTGGCATGCCGGTATATCGGCGTACATCATGGCATGCACGACACGTAGAAGTCCGTGCACTTCTACGAGTGCACAAGTGCAAAAGTATGTGCTAAGGTTCTTGAATACACACACTCCATCAAAGTTTCGATTGAGACACTTCTAAAATGACTTCTTCCGGGCAGGTTGGCATGCGTGTGTGGCCACCATCAAGTTCGGTGAAGTCATGACGACTACACAGGCGATGTGACCGGTTTTAGGTCCGAGTCGCATGCAATTTTGTCGATACGAGATTGGTTAAAAGTGTTGGTTCTATAGCATTTGGAAGGCGACGCTTCGTCACAACAGGTAAATCGTATTCATTTTAGATTAGTTATTTGTAGCATTGTTTATCACATCAACCGGTACAGTATTTAACCCGCGCCCTGCTGGGGGGGGGGGTGTTTGAACACCCCCCTTGTGGTTTTTCACGAATATCTCAAAAACGGCGGCGCGGAGCGCCGCCGTTTTTGGTACACCTTATCATACATCAATTCTACACATGTTGTGAAAATTTCAGACCAAGGTCATTCAAGGTCAGGTCACCAGGTCACTTGAAGTGACCTCACCTCATAAAAAGTTTCAATGTCTGTCATAGCTACACCGAGTGACCGATCGCTTTGAAACTTTCAGCGATTGATAAGGGTAACAGTATCTATAAAATGTATATCTCGGAATTTTGATATCGGTGACCTAAGGTCAGGTCAATTTCGCGACCTCCCCATTATAAGTCAATGGGAGAAAATTGAAATGCGACTCTTTTGGACGAAAGACATTATAAACACTCCCAAACACCGAATTACAAGTGGTTTAGACACACAGAACATGAAAATGGTGTCCGTGACCCTTGTTTATGCCCTGAGGTCATCTTAGGTCACGAATGGTATCTAACAGTTTTTCGCAAATAACTTTTGATAGAGGCATGCTAGAGCGATGAAAACGCCTTAGATGTGTTCAGCTCGACGATACGGATCGACTGATATGCAACATGACCATTTCCGGTCAGGTCATGACCTTGACCTGAGGTCAAATTTTCAAGTTGACCTTTCAAGGTCAAGTTATAGTTCATTCGATGCGTCTTGACGAGAGAAACACGATGCCGGTAAAAGTAAGCTCGTACAAAGCTTGGGTCAAAAGTTATTGCAGAAAAACTGTTTCCGAAAAAAAAATCGGCTATTTTTGCAGTTTTTGCCCCCTGCAGGCAAAACCGTTGACGTTAGGTCAAATCTGAGAGAATTACTCAGAAAGGGCGTTAATAGGGCTATCGAATGCGCTTTTCCGCGGCGCTGTAGCTCTATTGGTTCCCGAGTTATGCGTTGGCTTCTTGGAAATTTTCGACATTCGACCTGGAAATCGGCGAAATTTCGCCTTCAATGACCTCTGGTGACCTGACCTTTGACCTGACCAAAAAAATGACCGAAGTGATTTCGTCATTATTTTTGACGCTCTTTCGAACGCCGCCTTCCGCGTATCGCTACGTGGCCCAGGAGCCGAGTTACAAGGGGGGGTGTTCAAACACCCCCCCCCCCCAGCAGGGCGTGGAAATCCAGGACCCCCAGCCGGGCGCGGGTTAACTTGTGAAGTTTCCATTATCAGTTTTCTTTTTTACAGTAAACGGAACTGGCTGTCACGCTTACGCTTTGGCGGCATGGTAACCTAAAAACAGTGGTGCACTCGGGACTGCCATGATGGTCGTCACAACCCAACTTACGACCGACCTACCGGTGCATTGGCGACATACCCGCCCGTCCAGTAATGGGCTGGTGTTCTTATTTTGGATTGTATGGTGTACTGTGTACACACACTAAGGACAGTGAATGAAATATGACGGTCATTATATCTAGCGATAAAACGGGTGTATTGGTGGCTAGCTCAAGCCTCAAAGGAACACACTGCAGTAGCACAAAAAAATACTGCAAAAGGACAAGCTGATATTAAATATCCACGATACTCGAGGGATAATAATGAGCCGCACCACTTTTGTTCATTGTGCCATCAAATGTCATCAACCTCATCAATTTAGCAGAATCCATTCTTACCTAATTCGTCTCCTCTGTGATAAGAGAAGCTACCTGCTACAGCCGCCAGCAGATGCCCCGAACAGCCAATTATCAGCAGATTATTTCCCCACCCCATGCCCTCTACTCAGTACCCCCTCCCTTCCCCGCTCCCTCTCCACTAGACCCCTCTGCTTCTGCTCTTCACCCGCGTCATTCACCCAAACCCTCTAGTCCACCACAATCCACTCATCCTTCCTCTCCCCCCCCCCACAACCCATTCACCCCTCTCTCCTGACCGTCACTCTGTCGCTCTGCCCCCGGGGCACGGCCGCTGACGTCAGAAAACCGTTCTCGGGCGTCCGCCCGTATCGATCTGGGGGCGTTGGCCGCGCCCGCCCGCCCGCCGGTGGTGCCATCGTGACGTCACTGCCGCTCCGGAGCCAGCCGCGAGAGCCTCGTGCTTCAGGTGTAGGGACGGAGCGGAGGATACGGTCGAACGCAGTCTGATGAAAAATGTAGGGCTATCGGTGGGTCAGGATGAAATGGAATGGAAGCTTCGGTTTGGTTGGGTCGGGTCAGCTCAGGTTGCATTGGTTGGGTCGAGTCAGAACCTTATGTCAAATTAGGCCGGTCGCCAGGTCGGGTCAGGTCAGGTTGAATTCAGTTAAGGCGGGTCAGTCATATCCGGCCGACTATTGGGTCTCGAGCCGGACTCGATTGGATTAGGTCAGGCCGGCGGCCGGTGTCGCAGCACCGCATCGCAGCAGCCAGCACGTGACGGGCGCCGCTCGATGGCCGTCGATTTCCGATACGCGCAGGAAGGCACTGCTCGCCGCCGGCACGCGGAGAGGGTTGACGGCGAGTCGGCGGGTACTGAGGTCGGTACGAGCTGGTGGGGTCGATGGTATGGGGCGGTGACAGCGGGCAGCACGGTCAAAGAACGCCGGGAGTGACGACGCGCAATTTGGGTTGGGTCCCGAAAGTCCGCCTTTTAACCATATAACACATGGTCAGCAGGTAGTTCGTGAGCTGATTTTCAGTGCAGTTTAGCTCCACTCTTGACGTAACTAATAAATATGCCCTTCTGTCATCAGCAATCGATAACGATAGCTCCCAGCGCTGTCGTCGCCACCGGACCACACCCCTTCACAATGACTCACTGGGTATCCAGTGAATCAGGCCGGTCTAACACAGTGGTGAGTTAGGACGGGGTGTCAGCCAACCAGTCACACCACGGCGCGAGCCCCCCCCCCCCCCCCCCTCCACTACCGTCCGCCCATCCATCCCCACAGCAACAGCTGTTGAGTGTTGACCCCTCCCCTCCCCACCACGTGCACCGCCCCTCCCGCTGCCCATCGGCCCAGGCGACCGCCCGCGGCACTGAGCAATGACGCTACCCAGGAATGAGGCCAGGAATGTCTCAGTCCGCGCCATCGGCTCTCCCATAAACCCGAGCTGCTCCTATGCCTCTGATGACGTCATAGGTTAGCATTGAGCTCCCGGTTCACCGCTTTGCAATCGGGACACATGCGTGCTCAGCGCCGCACTAAAGAACGCCGCACCGCGTCCGTCGGCACTTTTTGTGCCGATGTGCCCGAGCTTTCAGATGAGTCACGTCAAAAATAGCAGCCCTTGTTGCAGCGGCGCGTATATACTGACGTCGGGTTCTGCGTCATTATCTCCGAAAATAAGCCGGATCATAGCGGATCGATGAGCTAATTCCATGTTATGATCCCAGTGACAATATGAAGCTTTGTCCTCGTCTACCTTTATACAGTGTCATCCATAATGAGATATGTGTGCGTGCCTGCAACGCGGCAGGAGCTATATTAGTTACCAGTCTCAGCGAAAGCGTCGAACGATATTCCAAACTGCAAAGAGCACTTACCGGACTTTTGTTTAATGGTGCTTTCGAGCGCACCAACTGCAATGGTCGTTTTCCATCCAGAATGCTTCCCGAACCTATTATGTCGTTCGCGCCCCGTGACACCAAACACCTAGTCCATTAAAGCTTTCCAGGTCAGCGATCAGCCCACTAAACCACAGGGGACATCGCAGCACACGAGGACCAGGCACTGCTGGACAAATCCACTTGGACAGACTCGCCCAGTCCAGTGTTCGCCGGTCAGTTCTATTCGGTTCGCCAGACGCTGCACAGACTTAACCTATCCAATATCTTGTGTCACTCGGAGTCCTGTTAGTCTCGAGTACCGGACATCTCAGACAGAACACACCCGGTCGGTTATCTCATAATTAGCTCACTGAATGAGCTGCACGTTCGACTCACCCGGTCTCTGTGAAGCGGGTGAGCTTGTTGGGCGAGTCCTGCAGCTTCCTCAGCCGCAGCCACCGGTCCACCTGGCGCTCCGTCCAGTCCAGCTCCTTCGCCAGCTGCCGCACCTGCAGTCACGCAGACACGAGCGATGGTAATTAGCTAGAGTTCTCGGCGCCCGGGTAGCTGAAGCTATCGGCGTCTACACGAGTCTTATCAGCTATTGGTCTCTGAAGGAGTTCCGAATAGCACGAACGACTGATTATTTATGTCGATAAAAAGTCCGAATTACATATTGCATCATCTTGAATAACAAAGATTTCATATTAAATAGTACATAACTATGACACGACGGATACGAGATGGTGAAATCCTTTACAGTGAGATCACCTCCCTTCAGACTTCGACTTCATCAATCTCGCCCTCCCGTTCCCTTCGACCCTACCTACCAAGCGGTCTGGTAGTCCGTCAGTCGTCAAAACCGGCATGGGGGCGTAATTCGGCCTTAGAACAACTAGATATCTCGGCAGTTAGTTACCTGTTTATGCGATACTCTCCGGCTTTTCCGGTAGGCGTCTTCGAGGAGTTCGTTGTAGGCGACCCGCTTGGGGCGCATCGCCTTCAAGCCCATAGACCGGCCCACCGGCGCCCAGATGAACCTGGGACATAACATCAGACACATGTGTCACAAGGGCTGTGACAACAGTCACAGCACGGCTTCAGCATGGTCCGTGACGCTCCTCACACGGAGAATGACATTCAGACGTTCGTGTGACGGAGTTCATCATATCGAATACGATAGAATCAGCCTGCCGGTAACAAAGACTACAGAAGTTTGCCACTCGGCAGCGAAACAGGGATCGGGTGAGGCAAGGCAAGACGCAGAATGGTGAGCAAACAAAGGAACAACGCCTAGCGCGGGGCAGACGACCCGAATCGAATTCAGCGGGCAGACAAAGAACGATGGGTCGTGCAGATCGACCCTGTGTGGGATACTGATGGACGCCGATTGGGATGGCATGCATGCCGGAAATCGTGGCAGATATTATATGTTCAACAAGACGGTGGTGTTGGCATACCAGAGGGTCGTACTGAATCAGGACATCAAGGCTATCGAGTTATTCAAGATCATTCGGTCAACAAGATTTAACACCATGAGCCGTGGTAAACAAGCCTTCATTTATCTTCCATGCTACCAGCGACATCTTGTTTATGGTTCCCTGGAAACCATGTAGCTTTTGATGGGTGATATTAAAGCAGCTACAAAGGTATCACACATAGTGCCATTGTTTTTGAAAGAGCATTTACGAGTTTTATCTCAAAGAAATTTGTCTACCCTGGCGCTTCACATCTCCGCTTCCGTAAATCTGACGCAGTTTCATCATCAGCGAAGCGTGATCCGTTCCTAACAGATCAGCGATCGGGCACGTGGTCAGCCTTCCATCGCAATGTAAACATAGCGAGTGAAGCGCTGTCTGTAGGCGACTGCCCGACTGCAAGCTGGGCCCTCACCCGGCCCCAGCTGAGAGGCCTGTCATCTGTGGGAGCACCAGTCTCAGTCGTCTGGCCAGCCGCCCCAGGCACGTCGTGATGTGGCAAAACCTCACAAAGTCGGCCTCAAGGGGTGCCAGTTGGAGCGAACAAGAAGCGTCCAAACAAACTCAGCACAAACACACGGCGCGGGGCACGACTGCGCAGAGAGAACAGAGTGAGGGAGAGAGAGAGAGAGAGAGAGAGAGAGAGAGAGAGAGAGAGAGAGAGAGAGAGAGAGAGAGAGAGAGAGAGAGAGAGAGAGAGAGAGAGAGAGAGAGAGAGAGAGAGAGAGAGAGAGAGAGAGAGAGAGAGAGAGAGAGAGAGAGTCTCCAAACAGCAGGTGGTGAAATAGGAGTAGGAGACTGTAGCACCTGTCATCAGGAGGAAAATGACGACGGTTACGCACATTGCACACACCACTGAGCCGCGGCCCAATTAGGAGTCAGTCGCCACAAAAACCACATGCGCAGTGCGCACGCCTCCAAATGTAAAGCGACGGTGCAAATGCAATGCACTGACGACCACGGTTGGCACGTTTGGGGCTGTCGTGCAGTCGAAA